AAATCTGAGGGAAACTAGTGTTCTGGCCTCCAGAAAAAACACAGAGACCTACTACACACCAAGCTTGGTATCACCTCCATTTCCCCCCACGGACTCACTCACACTCACCTTCTCTCTGAGGTTACAACAGGAGGGGTGTTGCCCCTCTGCACCCTGTTGACTTAAGGACATTTCAGTTGGAAGAAATTTAGATCTTTACTGAGTCCTTAGAGAATATAACCGAGGGAGGGCACTCTTCATGTATAGCAAAACACAGTAAAAAAGGAAAAAGGACTCTTCTCTGTTTTAGGGAGAGAGAGGGCAGGTCCCTGACCTTCACTTTAACCCAATCACAGAGTTTGATTGGCCTCAGGCTCCACCTGCTCAGGTAAAAATATCTTGAGGACTCATTCTCCCTGACCCCTCACAGGACGTTGTTTATCACTTGCAGGTCTCCCCTCCCCAGCCCTGCATGTTCAGGCCGCCCCAGGCCACGGTCTCACCTCTGCCTGGTCTCGCCTTTCTAGGAGACACCCACATCTGGCCTCGCAGTTGGGCTTCTGCAGTTTCAACTCTAGAGTTCTTTTTTTTTTTTTTTTAAAGATTTTTATTTATTTATTTAACAGAGATAGGGAGAGAGCACAAGGAGGCAGAGCGGCAGGCAGAGGGAGAGGGAGAAGCAGGCTCCCCGCTGAGCAGGGAGCCCGATGCGGGGCTCGATCCCAGGACCCCGGGATCATGACCTGAGCTGAAGGCAGACGCTTAACCAACTGAGCCCCCCAGGCGCCCCTCAACTCTAGAGCTCTTAAGTGAAAGAAAGACAAACCCACCCTAGCTAGTTTAGGCTAAAAAATAATTTATTAAAAATACTCGGTAGCTCACAGTGTCTCCGGGAGGACCAGAGAAACCCCCAGGAACAATGTCCCAAAGGTCACGGCCAAGTTGACCTGGTGGAGGCACCTCTGGGCACAGACACCACTCTTTGCCAACGCTGCTAACCTGGGCCCTGGTGGTACCACTAGCATCTCAACCTCCAGCCTCTGGAAATAGGATACAGCTGTCATCCCCTCCCCAGGGTGGGTTCCTCTTGGTGCCTGCTTCAGATACAAAGTCTGACATGAGGGCGTGTGGCTGGCTGAATGCCTGCACCCCAGCTGCAAGGGAGGCTGGGAAGGCCTCATGGGGCTCCTATGGCTGGAACCAGGATTCGGAAGATGGAGAATGCCCCAAATGCAGGACATGCTCACCAGTCAGAAAGAATGGCACATGTCCCCTTCCATTCTCCAGGAGTCTGGCCACCCCATCTTAGGGCTTCTGCCCCACACGCTGCCCTCCCTCACCCCTGAGACCTCTGGCCATAGCCTGCTTACCTTCCTCCTCCGGGTCCTCAGGAACCACGCCCTCCTCCTCACAGTACTTCCCACTTCGCCACACCAGGGACCCCGGCTAGACCTCGCCACCCGCCCTGTCTGCTGGCAACAACCTCGTCAGGCACGACACCGCTGTCTCAGGAAGAGCTGATATTTTATGGGGCGGCTGAGGTGTGTTTCTTGTGCCGTCCCCTCATTTGACCTCAGAAGCTCCCCTGCCAAGAGGGCTGCCTACTGACATCCCCATTTACACAAGAGGAAACCGAAACTCAGAGATTGGACATCTCCTTGGGGGGTGCCCGCTCCATCACTCAGAGGGGCCCCTTGAGAGCACGGTCTGTGTCACGTTCTCTCTCTGCTGGGGACCCCTGTGTTCTGAACAAGCAAAAGTCCATACAGGATTCTAAAAATGTCCTAGAAGTCACATGTCCTCAGACTGTTTCCTGTGGAACAGCATTTCCCAAAAACGATCATAAAATTAACCTAGGATGTTTGTTAAAAATAATATAGAGTCCTGGGGCACCTAGGCGGCTCAGTTGGTTAAGCGTCCCACTCTTGGTTTCGGCTCAGGTCATGATCTCAAGGGTCATGGGATCAAGTCCTGTGTTGGGCTCTGCACTCAGCTCAAAGTCTGCTTCTCTCCCTCTCCCTCTGCCCCTCCCTACTGCTTACACGTGTGTGCTCTCTCTCTCAAATAAATAAATCTTTAAGATAATAATAATATAGAGTCCCAATTCCCTCCTGGAGCAGACAATCCTTAAGATCTCAGGGAATGTTCTACCTGCCGCTCCCCCTGCTTATGCACACACGCGCTCTGTGTGTGTGTGTGTGTGTGTCAAAAATAAAAAAAGATCTCAGGGAAGGTCTGGGAACAAGGGCTTTTAACAAGCTCTCCAGCGATGCTTGTGATCATGCAAATAGGGGGGGCACTGCCCCAGAGAGCTGTCTGTTTTCTTAGGGTGGATTTACCTTGGGCCTGCAAATTATAGTCTGTTCTCATTGGAGATCAGCAGCTGAGGCCCAGAAAATGTGGAGCATCACTGCATGCCATGGAAGGACATTAAAACAGGCACTCGGGGGCTACCCGACAATGGAGCCTTGCAACCAAAATGTGAGCTTCTAGCAAGTCCACTTCTAGGGATTCATCCCAAGGGAAGAGTTATGGTTCTGCATAGAGCACTCCTGTACCAGAGGAGAAAGTTGTTGTCCAAATCTGCCTGTGTACTTAGGAAGAAGCACAGTCCTCACCCCACAGAAGGCCAGTCAGGATGAGACAAAGCCATGAGGCAGACCTCCTTCCGCCCCCGCCCCCTTCTCCCTGATCTGTCCCGGCCAGTGCCCCCACCCAGATGGCACGATTCCATCCTCTGTGCTTGGGGCCCTTTCACTCACTCAGGTCCTGGAATTTGCCTATGCAAAGCCCAGAATGGGGAGGGGGGGCGGCTGGGTACTTACTGGAAACCCACTCAGTTTGGGTATCTAGAGCAGTGGGGTGGTGTCTAGAGCCTCCTGCTCACTTGGACCTGCTGACCCTGTCCCATAGGAGGTCCCCTTGGTAAGGGAGCTTGCCCCTTGCATTACGGTCCAAATGTGGAACAAAGGTCAAATGGGGAGGGGAGGTCAGGGAGGAGCCTCCTGTTCTTCCTGACCCAGGCCTGGATTGTTTCTCTGTTTCTGTTTTCTCAGTGTTTCCCATTCTACCACATGGGCTCCCTGTTAAGCCACCCCAGTGATTTTTCATAGCTTCTGAAGTGCGCATTGACCCGCAGGTCCCAGGAATCATCTGGTCTTCCTCTCTGAAGGCTGTGGCCAGCTCCAACCGTGGGGCTTTCTCCTTAGTGTCCCAGCCGCGTGGCCTCCAAAGATGTAAGCACCTGGCCTTCACTTCTCCTTTCTGCCAACAGCGAGAACATCACCAAAGTAACAGACAGAGGAAAGTTACGGTGCCCTAGAAAGGTCTTATGTTCATGATCCTCATCTGTGTTTCCTCAGTCCCTGTTTTAAACAAAGTCAGACCCCAGGCCTTTCCCCCAACACTTCTCAGATATTAAAGTTCCAGAAGTCACTCGAGTAACAGAACACCTGGAAGTCATGGGCTCCTTCAGGCTTCAGGAAGCCATGTTTCCTGCTGTGTCTAATTCCGTCATAGGAAAGGTGGGTAAAGACTCAACCCCAGATGAGACACAGGAGCGCGCATTGGTTAGGGCACAGGCTCTGGGTTGGGCAAACCCTGGTGGGATTGTCTGACCTTGGGAAAGCCACTTAATTCCTCAAAGCCTCTGAGCTTTGGATTGCATTTCCCTCCTCCACGCATCTGGTGAAGCCCTACTGCCCACTGTGATTGGATTTGAAGACAGGCTCTGGAGGGAGGTCACTAAGGTTAAAGGAGGTCACAAAGGTGGAGGCCTGATTCCATCAGACGGGTGTCCTTCTAAGCAGGGATCAGAGACATCTCTCTCCAGGCCTGCACAGAGTCTAGGCCATGTGAGGACACAGCGAGAAGGTGACCGTCTGCAAGCCAGGAAGAGATCTCTCCCCAGAAAGGAATCCTGATGGCACACTGATCTTGGGCTTCTGGCCTCCAGAACAGTGAGAAAAGACATTTCTGTTGTTCAAGCCACCACATCGGTGGTATTCCGTGATGAGCCTGCTCTAACACGCTCACTTCCCTCATCTGAAACACAGGGATAAAACTAGCATTTGCATCATGAGGCTATTGTGAGGATCCAGCAGGAAATACACATGCCTCCTTGGGTTTTTCTATAACATCTTCAGCACCTGGAACAGTGCCTGGCATAGAGAGGATGTTCAATAAATATTTACTCAATGAATAAATACAGCCATCCACAAAGGAAGCTGTCAAACTAAATACACACGCATATTTCTGAGCTTTTCACTAACCTCTATTTCTTTGATCGTTGGTCACCATTCACCAGCAAGCATAAAGCGTTTAAGAAAGTGCAAGGACAGTCTCCCATTTTCAACTGGACCCGTCCCTTCATGTCCTATGTTCTGTGAGTTGGGAAAGGTCAGTCCGGCTGACAGCGGTGTGAGTCGGAACCTCTGGGAGGAGGAAGCACCGATCAGAGGGCTGCGGGAAGCCTCTGAGCACGGGTCCAGCCTGTGACCCTGAGGCCCTGGAGCAGAGGGGAGGAGAGCTCTTCCTCCAGTGGGGCAGAGGGGCTGGAGACCGGGGACCGAAGCTGTGGGAGGCAACGTAGGGGAGCTTATGGGAGCCTCATGGGGCAACTTGGTCCGAGGTTAGAGGCCACAGCCGACCCACCTTCCTGGTGCTTGTGAGATGCAAATGTTGAGAAGAATAGGGCCTCTGTCCCCAGGCCATTTGTGGTAGAGCCTAGGCTCCCAGGAATCAGAGCTCCTTCAGCCTGGCCATGGTGAGAGTTGGTCCTGGGGCAGCCGCAGGTGCACAGATGTGCCCACCACACCTGGGGGCCCAGGACGCTTCCCAGGGAGAGGCATCCGGGTGGCACTGACTCCTCCCTTATCCGCCCCCCTCCCCCGATTCTTTCCAGGACAAGCTCAGGGGAAGCAAGCGCCGGTGAGTACTCGGGCTCCTCTCTCCTCTGCCTCCTCTGTTGTCTCTACCTCGATGCCCCTTTCCTGGGCACAGCCCTACTTGCCCAGTGAGACCATCCTCCTACCTCCACCCCACTGTGAGCACTAGGGCTCCCTCACCACCGGCTTCACTGGGGCACCAGTTCATCCAGCTGTGTCCCCACCAGGCACTAGCTCTGCCCCCAGACTGTTCTTCCTGCTGCCCTGGCCCCAGGCTATTGGCACACAACTCCAAGGGGCGCCACTCACATAGTCGCTGCTGTGAATGTCCTGGGAGCAGTGCAGTGTCTGGCCCCTTGGGCAGAGTTGACTAGAGTCTGGTTGCAGGTTGGAGCCACCCCCTCCACCCCCCAGACGTGTAGGTAAGTGACGGTGGCCTCCTTATTTTCAAAATGCCGACCTCACGGTCCCTGCTGCAGTGTTGGAAAGGCTCACCATGAGTGGCTCCTCCGAGTCAAATGAAGCAGCGAGGCCCACTGTAAAAAGGCAGATGGTTTATTATGGCAGGGAAAGAGAGTAAGTCATTGTGGGGTGGGGGGCGCTGGAAGGTGAGGCCAGTCTCATCAGTCCCCTGTCCAGATTCCCCAGCCTGGAACAAAGATGCCCCCAGCCCATCTCCTCGGCCCGCCCCGGGGACCTGGAGACTCGAGGTAAGTGCAGCTGCTGAGCCTGGGGTGGAGGGAGGTGGGCCACAGTGGCTACCACTGGTCCTGCCCGTCTTCTGTCCCTTCTGGAAAGCCCAGGAGGAGGAGGAAGATGAGGAAAATAAATATGAGCTGCCCCCCTGTGAGGCTCTGCCCTTCAGTCTTGCCCCAGCCCACCTTCCTGACACCGAGGAGGAGGACTCTTTGTACTTGGGTAAGGGCTGGGGAGTTGACGCAGGGAGTTGGGTGGTCGGGCAGGACAGAGGGTCCCCACGAGGAAAGAGGTTGCAGGCCTTGCCTTGTCTCCCTTTGTGCTGGGGCGGTAAGGAGAGGCCTCAGCTGGCAGCTGTGGAAGCTTCTGGGCTGGGCAGAGAGAGAGAAGGATGAAGGAAAGGCGGAGGGAGGAGGGAGAAATGCAGGAGGAAGAGTGGGAAGGGGAGAGGAGCCTGGAGGGGCACTGTAACCAAGGCAACCGTGGGAAAGCAGGAGGCCCGACAGGGGCCCTGGGGCCTCCTCCGAGATCCCTCACTTCTTAGAGCAAGGGTAGGGATGCCAGGAGAGCCCCGGCGGCTGCTGGCATCCCACCCCCAGGGCTCCTCCGCTAGGCCAGGTGGGGGCAGGAAAGCTGGCCGCCTCCAGTTGCCATGGAGACGGGGCTGGGGGAAGCCAGGGAGGGGGAGAGGCGGATGGAGGAAATAGCGGCTAGGTGGGGGGCGGGAGGAAAATGGGAACCGACGCGGGAGAAACCCACCGACCCATGATGCCTGGGGCCTTTTCCAGATCACGCTGTGCCCCTGGGCCCTTCCAAGTCACCACCACCGCAGCCCCAGGCCACAACGGTGAACAGCACCCCCTGCCCAAGTCCCTCCTTCCCCACCTACCCTACCCGGCTACCATTTCCCAGGGAGTAAATCTAGGAGGCATCTCATCTGCAAGATTCCCCCATATTTGCATTCAAGAGGCCCCTGAAAAATTAGATGTGTCAGAAGCGGAGCCCAGTTAGCCCTTGCTGCTCCCACCTGCCCGACTGGCCCTCCCCCTCCCCTCCCCCCCACTCCTGCCTGTCAGCATCCCCCAGGACTCACCCTTCCTCTGGAGCTGGAGCTGGGAAGGCCTGGCAGGCTCGGCTACCCCTCCCCGCACCCTGGGGCCTGAGGACCCCTCCCTGCCTAGAGAGGGAAGAAATCCCCCACTCTGCCGCCATCGCTGCCAGCTCGAGAGCCCGCTGTGCTGAGAGAAGCTTATGGCCTTGGACGTTACCACTTTCATCATAGATTTTACTGGAATAAAAAGAAAAACAGGGAGAGACTCACAACAAAGGAAGAGCCACAGGACAGAGGCAGAGAGTCACCTCTGTACCTGAGTTCTTGTGCTGCGGTGGTTTCGAGGCTGCGCAGACATACATAACCTGGCCGCACCCCACCCCGCCATCCTTGCCCTTCCCCTGCCCCCGGTCCCCCCCGCCCCACCCCTAACCCTATTCTTCCTCCCCGCCCCTTGTGCCCACAGCTGAAGGCGGTCCTGAGCCTGCCGGAGACTAGGAAGCAGGGACAGCCCTTCCCCGTGGTAAAGCAAGGTAATGAGGATGTCCTGTGTCCTTCCGAGGCCCGCTCGGTGCTCACCCTGAGGTGGGGAATCCTGGCCCCCTCAGGGTAGACCTGAGCTCAGGCTACTTGGTTTCGGGCTTTGCCTGGTCACTGCCCTCCCCCCCTGGGGGGGGGGGATCCTCATTTTTTTACCTGCTGATTCCCCATCCCCGCTAGGGCAGGCAGTTCAGGAGGAGACTGAGGGCTGGAGCCCAGAAATGCTTTGTGTGAGATCACAGAGCTTCAGAGTCCCAGACTCCCAGGTCCTGTTGTGCATCTGCTGTGGTCTCCGGGGCAGGCAAGGGGCACTCCGGGATGAGGAGATCCGAAGGGCAGCCTTCACTATGGAAACACATCTGAGTGTCAACCCCCATCCAAGGGACCCTTTGGCCCCAGTCTCCAGCCTTGTCATCATTGCTATCACTGTCCAGAGACTCTGCCTGTGCTAAGTGCCCTGAGGCCTGTGAACCCAGAACCCTGGGATGTCGGGATAGTGAGGGACCTCAGCCAATGTGTTTTTGTCTGGAAAGGGCCCAAGAGGGGCACTCTCCTCCTGCCTCGGGTCAAACAGCTAATCTGAGGCAAGTTCTTGTTTACTGTGCCCAGTGGTTAGTAAGCGTTCATGAGCTTGGGGGTGGTTTTGACTTTTGGAACAGCCCGAAGTCGTTTGGAGCAATCCCGGCAAATGGTTTGGGAGGTCGAGCCCGGCAACACCCCCAGGGTTGTGAAGTGGGGCAATCAGAGCTCAGGGTGGCTTTCTCCTGGGGCTTCAACGCTGGCTCGGAGGATGCCCTCAGATGAGATCAGAGGACACTCCACTCTTCCAGCCTAAGTCTCACTGAATTCCTTTCTCCCTGTGCTTCTGACTGGTGGTTTCTCCTTTTCCTTCCAGAGCTGGCTACACCGGCCAGAGTGGTGAGTGGCCCCTCCGTCCCCGCCCACCACCACTTACCCTCTAGGGTTCTGGCTAGCAAGTTGGCAGAGTTAGGGTAGCAGGCCTGGGAGGGTCAGGAAATATCTCTGAAACCAAGGAAAAAGGCTCAGAGCAGAGTGGGCTCCGTTTGCCACGGGCCCCTGACAGGGTGTAAGCCAGCTGTCTGTACTGACCAGCGCTACTGGGGAAGGCCTCACCCAGATCTCCTCCTGGACGCCCATGTCCTAGCAGAGCTGGGGCCTACAAGCACCTCTGAAGGAGGAAGGTCCTCATGGATGCTCCTCCCCAGGCAAAGGAGCAACTTGAATCATTCCAGCTAGCTCTCAGAAAGAGGTCCACCTTGGGGGGGGGAAGTTGCCCAAAGTCCCCCCCCCAAATGATGGGTTCACCCTCTCTCCCACTTGCCGGTCAAACCCTTAGGTGCCAGGCCTTCCAAAGACATCTGATGAGAACCTCTACCTGGAGTGTGAGCCCAGTCTAGGTAAACATCTCCCTCTGTCCCAGCTCCCTCCTGCCCTGGGGCCCTCAGCTGCTCAAAACAGGACACATTCTGGCTCCATCTTCTTCCCTCGTCTTCCCTCACCGTTCCACCAATACACATTTGCCTTCAGACACCCACAGGGACACCCATCCTTCAGTCTTTGGTCCAGGTTGCCCCCCACTCTGCCTAGTAGGGGAGACTTAAGCAAGGGCTGCACGGGGCTTCCCAGCTCTTATGGCAGGACAGCGCTCCCTCTGGTTGGAAGGACTCCCAGAGATCCCAGGCTGCTGAGAAGCAGCAGGCCCTGCGGGCATCTGCACCCCTCCCTGGTCAGCGTGGATCTCCTGTCTGGTGCCCAGCCCAGCCCAGCCTGCCCCCCCTCTTTCAGTCCCGGCCTTGACTCAGACTCTGCGCTCCCAAGTCCTGATGCCCCCAGTCTCTCTGCCAAGGGTATCATTGGTGCCCAGGTGAGTGCCCACCAGGTGTGTGTGTGTGTGTATGTGTGTGTGTGTGTGTGTGTGCACAAGATGGCCAACTCAGGCTTCCCCAGCTCTGACCCTGTGATCTCTGAATGCACTGGGCTCTTTCTCTTAAAGGAGGTAAAACCTGAGCTCTCTTCCCCAACTTGCCCCCACAGGCCCACCGTAGCCCCCCAGGAAGATCAGAATGTAAGAGGCTAGTAGCCAGGGGAGAAGTGACCTGTGTTGGGGGGAGGCTCAGGGAGGGACTTCATTGCCCGGGGGATGGGGCTATGGGCCCGAGTCTCTTCTGACCAGCCTTTCTGTGTCCCAGGGAGCAGTGAATGCCACCTCTAAAGGTGAGTACAGGCATCTTCTGCATGAACCTCAGGCAGTCCTGCCAGCCCACCCCAGCCACAGCCCTGCAGGCCACAAACTCTGCTCCCCACCCCCCTGCCCGCCCCTCATGCCCCACTTTGCTGTGGGAGTCCTTGCAGCTCTGACTTCAGCTGAGAGCAGGCCGGAGGGGATCCCACTGGGCAATTTCTAGGGTCTTCACCAAAGCAGGAAACTCCCAGCTTGTACCTCAAGATCACCCCTCATTTGGAGGTCACACATGGCCTAGCTGATAGGTCCTACCAGAGCCCAAGACCTGGGAGAGGAGGGGTGAAGCACTGAGTGTCCTGCTTTGGGCTTCAGGCCTCTGTGCACAGCCCTCTAACCTCCCGCACCTCTGCAGCTGGGCCCAAAGCTTTCTTTGCCTAATCCCCTCCCCGCCTCAACTCTGTAATCTGCTTCTTCCAGCAGGAAGGAGATCCTCTCTTTCCTCTAGAGCACCCACCTGGAGCACCTCGGCTGCTGAGGTGAGGAGGGGCTGGGAGAGGGCTGGGGGGAGGCCGACAGGGAGCCCTCTTGGGCTGGCGGCTGCCATTGCAAGGAACACATTGACTGTGTGTGTGCCGCACCGTGCTGGGCAGCGGGCGGGGACACACCTTTGTTCTGCTGGCGGAGACTCCGTCTGGGGAAGGCAGATGTGAACACAAATTACAGCAGCCCAGGATTCTCTGCCCCCCAGCCCCTCTCTGGTGCCCTGGCACGTCCCTGAATGGCTGCGTGTGTATGTACAGGACGGCAGCCTGCTGGGTCAGCCCTGGTACTCAGGAAACTGTGACCGCCATGCCGTTGAGAGTGCCCTGCTCCACTTCCGAAAGGTGGGCAACTGCAGCCCCCCTGGGCCTTTGAGGAAACCCATCTGCTCATGGATGGTGGTTGGCTGAGCAGCTGGGAATGGGAAGGCGGGGTGGGGGGGTGCTGGCCATCTGTGGGCCAGGGCTGCAGGTTGACAGATGGGGTCTCCTGCACAGGACGGGGCCTACACTGTGCGCCCCAGCTCAGAGCCTCACGGCTCCCAGCCCCTCACCCTGGCGGTGCTTCTCCATGGCCGGGTCTTTAACATTCCCATCCGGCGGCTGGACGGTGGGAGCCACTATGCCCTGGGCCGGGAGGGCAGGAAGCACGAGAAGGTAGGTGCTAGAGGAGGACCGAGACTAGCAGGCCAGAGGGCAGAGCAGAGCCGTGTGCCGGGCCCAGCCGGGCGCATTTGCCTGGGGAGACTAGCAGGCGAGAGGGCAGAGCAGAGCCGTGTGCCGGGCCCAGCCGGGCGCATTTGCCCAGGGGAAAACTCACATTTTGCAGTTTTTCTGGACTGGGTGGACATGACAGAGGCCAGTGACTTGAATTCCTTCTCAGAGGTCTGCCTTCCTCTGGGGGAGGCACCCCCTCCCGCAGGGCTCAGTCTGCCCAGGGCCCGGGGGCGGGGGTGGGGATTTATGCCTGCCTTGACCCCAGCTAGGAGGCGAGCAGGGCCCAGGTAGTCCAGACTCCTGTCGGTGCCAAGAACCCGACTTTGTGCCCGGCACTTGCTGAGGTCCCCATCCTGGAGGACCCAGGCAGAGGCAGGGCGCCAGAGTTATTTCTACCTGGCCTGGCTAACAGCAAGCCCGCAGGTGCAGTTGTGAGAAAGTTGTGCGAGCCCTGGAATGGGGCACAACGTGGCCATGGAACTTCATGGGGCAAATCTGAGGGAAAGGATTTAGAAGAATGTCAACAAGCCTCCTCCCCAGAGTTTCTTCAGGAAGTTTCTCCCAGCACGAGGCTCGGGGGACTCACCACTGTCCCGCGTCCTGTCTAGCTGTTCCCCTCCGTGGCGGCCATGGTCCAGCACTTCACGCAGCATCCCCTGCCCCTTGTGGACAGACACAGCCGCCGCCATCACCTCACCTGCCTGCTCTTCCCCACCAAGCCCTGATGCCCCCGCGCACCGTATGCACCCACCTCTGGCCCCATAGTTTGCTCTCTGCCCTGGCCACCTTGGGCTGTCTCCCTCTCACCTCTCCCAGGTCTCCACCCTCCTAGGCCCTCCTCTTCCCTTGCCCCAGTCCCTGCAGGCCTGGAGGAGAGGCTTCGGGGAAAGGTTGCCCAGAAGCAGAAAGAACCCTGAGACCCCACTGCATGTTCACCTGGGGCTCAGCACTGCCCCTCCCTGCTGCATCGCCAAGGCTGGGAAGCAGGGTTCAGGCAGGGCCCCCATTCCCAGGCCCCAGGCATGGCGGTGTCTGCCCTGTTTACTAGAGCCTCCCAAGCTGTTCTGGATAAAGGCCGCCTCGGGGAAGTTGAGCCTCAGGAGGCCTGCTGGGAGATGGGGGGGCAGTGGTGGGCACTGCTTGGACAAAAAGAGAATCCTTTCACATTCTCTTGGGGGCTTAGCACAGGGCTGGCAGCTTTGGTCGCACTGTATATAGTCCGCTTTCAATAAATACTTGTTGACTGAATTCTTGAATCTGCTGAGCGAGGCAGAGGTGGCCTCCATGAGGCCTCCATGATACTCCAAGATCTTTTAAGTGTCCAAGGTACATACTGGGTCTGGGAGTGATGGAGCAGTGGTGGCCAGGCCAGGGCAGGAAGGGCCAGCCCCATTTCTGTCCCTGAGTGGGTCTTTTGCCCTCAGACATTCGGTGGAGGCCAGCCTGGGGTGGCTGGTTTTTGTTTGACTTTGTTTGCGGCGGGGGGGGGGGGCGGGGGGGGGGAAGGGTGGGAAAGGCTTGGTGCTGTCTCTACCGCCCCACAAAATGATAAGAACGGACTTAATTACTTGTCCCCCACCTACTTGCCGTATAGTGCTGTCCCAGGGAGGGATGAGCCTGATTTTGCTCATTTGGTGTTGTCTAGAGTAAGGGGGACAGGCGGACCCCAGGAAGCAACTGGGTATTGGACGCGCCACTCCTAAGATCAAAAGCTATGGAAGGCCCAAGGGTGGAGCTCAGAGAAGACAAGCGGCCAGGGAACAGAGATGCCCGCGGCGCGCGGCGGGGAAAGTCCAGCCGCGGGTCCGGGAGCCTGGGGGCGTCCGAGATAGACGGGCGGGCGCGCGGGGCCGGCGGGCGCGCAGGGGCGGGGGCGTCCCCGAGCCCTGGCGCGGCGCCCGGAACACCCCGTGCCGGAAGCGCCATGTGACCGTGACTGCGCAGAAGCCGCGAGCGCCGCCAAACAAAGGGCGGTTCTGCGGCCGCCTGGCGCTCAGGCTGGCACGGAGGGGCCGAACCCCCTACCCCCAGCCGGGCCCCCGGCCCCGCCCCCCGACGGACCCCGGGCGCTGGCCGGCCGGGCGGCTGGGCATCGGATGGTGCGGAGGCCGGGGAGTTGGGCGAGGGGGGCCGCGGGCACCGTGCGATGCAAGTGCGATGCGGGGCCAGGCTGGGCGATGGGGCGTTGGCCGTCGGGCCCGCGCGGCCGGCTCTGACCGAGCCTCCTCTCCTTAACTTCTGTAATAGAGGCGGAGATAGAGGTCCCTACGCAATTATCCTAGGGGAGGAGGCTTAAGTGAGGCGTGCTCTGGAAAGCAGTGAGGACAGTGCAGGGCCTGATGGGCCTGTCTCCCAGATAAGCACGCACGGGAATTCGGGTTAATGACTGTCACTTTCAGGGCCCACTGTACTTTCCGGCCAGGCCACCGGGAAGAGGAGCAGCATGGGGCCGGTGGTATAGGGCCAGGTGAGGGTGGGCGCAGCTGTGTGATCTGGAGGGGATTAGCAGCTGGGGGCTCTCGCAGAAGCAGGCGGATAGGAGACCCCAGGCCAGCCTCCCTCGGCTCTAGAGCCGGTCCTGGCTCCCTCTAGGCCCTACGTAGGAGTGGCCTGTCTCCTCTACACTTTCCCCAGCTGACGGAGGCGGGAACTTAGGGACTGGAGAAAGGTGGAGAGCCCAACCTTGTGTTGGCCTCAGGGTACTATCAGACTCTCCCATCTCCCACCAGATTTTCAGCTTTCACTTCTCGAGGAGCCCTCTACCCCAGGGCCCGCTTTTCCTAGCCCTGCATTTGCCTAGCCCCAGAGCCAGCTAGCCTGGGGGGGGAGGGGTGGGGATAGCAGAGGCCACAGCACAGAGCTCTTGGGTTGGTGGCCTAACACTCTCTGCTTGGTCACAGCTGGAGAACTAACTTTAAGGAACTAACCTCCGTCCTTCCCTCCCTGGGGAAAAAGAGAGGAGGAGCAGTCCAGGCAGTGGGAACAGCCTATGATAAGGGCCACTGAGGACCAAAAAGAGCTTGGTCTAGAGAGCCACTCAGTTTAGCTAGTACCTCCTCAGCTTACAGGTTGCACTTAGATGTCCTCTGTTCCAGGAAGCCTTCCCAGATCCCCAAACCTGGGCTCAGGCACTTAGGACACCTTCTAGCAATTGCCTTTTCACTCCTAGAAAAGGACCAAGCTCCCACTGCCCACTATTGTGTATTCAGGACCTGGAATACAGTAGGTGCCAAATATTTGTTGAAAGAGTCACTGAATAAAAAAAAGAAAGAAAGAAAGAAAAGGAAAGAAAAAAAGTCACTGAATAGGTCAGATCTACCCTGGATTCCTCTAAAGCTGTTAACATTCCTTGATCAGAGCTTCCTTTGTTAAGAGAAAAGCTCAATAGAACTTTCTGGGATGATAGGAACGTTCTATATCTGCATTGTGCAGTACAGTAGCCATGAGCACAAGAGGTTATTGAACACTTGAGATGTGACTAGCGTGACGGAGGAACTGAATTTTTAACTATAATTGAATTAATTTTAATTAATTTAAATTTAAATAGCCACATATGGTTCCTTACTATCCTATTGTTCCAAGTCTTTTGCATTCCCAAGTGCAAGAGGCAGTGGTAAAAGAGAAAACTAGAGAAGTTGGGAGGGAGGGCTAGGTCCTGAGAAGCCTGGGAAGCCTCCATAATGAGTGTGGGCAAAGGGGAGCCACTGAGGTTTGAAGCAGGGGAGGGTGCAGGAGGGATAGTATTTTAGGAGGGTCTCTTTAGCTGGGCCGAGCTGAATGGCTTGGAGAGGTGGCACGGGGACAGAGAACCATTAGGGGCTGCAGATATTTCTGTGGTTTAGGTGAGAGATGACATCCTTTGATTTTTTTTGCCATGCCAGTGTCCCACCAAACACCCCAGCCCCATTTCCTCTCACCTGAACAGGCCAGACTCTAGACAGTTCCAGGCAGGGTCACCAATTGGGGGATCAAGTCTGGGAGAAATGCCATTTGGTGAAGAGGTCCCTGTATTACCACGAGTGGTTCGCCTGTCTCCGTTTGCCAGGAAGGGCCTGTAGGACGGGGAGCGGAGGAAGTAAGCAGCCGGGAAGTTGGGAAGTTCGTGAAAGTCCCTGGCAAGACCACACCTGCTGGGGCTCACAGTGTGCAACTGTCCAGCAAGCTTTCAGCTTTGGCTTCTAAAGCAGCAGCTTGACCCTGGATAAAAATATGGGCTCTGGAGTCTGAAGGACCCACCTTTGAATCTGTCTCACTCACTGCCTATGTGTCCTAAAAGTCTGTCTCTTTACTTTTTTTTTTAATTCTTTATTTAAATTCAATTTAGTCAACATATAGTGTATTATTAGTTTCAGGGGTGGAATTTAGTGATTTATCAGTTGTGTTAGAACACCCAGTGCTCATTACATCAAGTGCCCTCCTTAATGCCTGTCACCCAGTTACCCCATCCCCCCACCCATCTTCCCTCCAGCAATCGTCTCTTTATTTTTAAAATGGGGCTAATAATACCTACTTCTTAGAGTTACTGTGAGAATGAGAAATGATTTATGGAACATATACTTAGCCTAATGTGGAGCCTGACATATAGTAGGGCCAAATGATAGGTAATACTATCATGATAATCCTGTGAATAGACCAAGCTTGGTTCTGGTCCCACCTGCATGCTCCCTTTTCAGGGGCTCTTTCTGACTCTGGCTTCCCCAACACCCCCCTTACACGCACACACGCACACGCACACGCACACGCACGCGCGCGCACTTGACCAACCTTTAGGTATTGTAGGTACTGTATTATTGTTTTGTCTGCCCACCTGGCTTTCCCATCCCCCTCCTCCTGTGACGTCATCCACTCCCCCTTACCGTAGGACCAGGTATGTGACCCAGGTCTGACTAGGGCCCAAACAGCCCCAATCAAAGCCTTCTCTGAGATGGATATATTGATGTTGAGAGAGAGAGAGAAGCCATCTCTCCAAGCCTGAATTTGGGCTGCAAATGGCCACCTTCTCCGCCACAGGGACAGATCCCACCTGCAAAAGTCAGGCAAAGACAAGGAGCCAGAATCTTGGGAGACCCTGGGTCCTGCCCCAAGGTCGCAGCTTTTGCTGTATGTGAGCTAGAAATTTCCTTTTTGGTTTAAGCTAGTGGGAGTATGGCTTCCAATATTTGTCAAGAAGACCCCTGCCTGCCACAGGCACTCGAGTGCTTGAAGTTTGGGGGCATCGGGGATTTTTCCGAAGCTCAGAGCTGTTAGTGGTAGAACCAGAGTTCAGACTTGTCTGACTGGCTCTAGATCTGCCATGAACTCTACCACACACCCCACACATCACTCACAAGTGTTTACTGAGGGCATATTATGTGTCAAGCACCAAACTAGCACCTTGTCCCCCTCCGCACCTCCTGGAGGACTCCTCCCCCCACCTTCGCTCCCAATCTCTAAGGACTCGCAAATCAGGATGGGGAAAAAACAGCCCTCTCCACCAGGATGGGGGAACACACTACACTCTCTTTCCAGAATCAATACTCCCAGAATCCTCCTTCTGTGCCAAGGATATGAGAGGAGCCAGCCAGTACTTACCTACCTACCTACCTAGCTACCTACCTACCTACTGCAGTCTGCTTGGCATGGAGTTAAGTCCTAGCCCTGGCCCAGAGCCCCGAGGCAGAGTTTCTGCCTGTGCCGTACTCTGAGCGACAGCTTCCTGCTTCCTCTACGGCTGCTCTGACCATTTATGGGGATACTGAGGTGGTTTTACAAGTGTTTTTGATCTCCATTGACCCAGATGTCCCCTTTGCTTACTTTGCAAATCTGGCTGAGGAGAGAGAGGGGTGTTGAGAACAGAAGGACTTAAGAACAGTGGTTTCCAAATCCGGTCCTCAGAACACCCATGGACCATGAGGGTGATATCACCAGTTTGTGATAAAAAAGGAGAAAAATACAACCTGAAGAGTGAGCTCTTCCTGAAGCAAAATTATTCCATTTAAAGGACCATCTTCTAAAGGGAAATCAAGTTCTTGCTGCTTTCTTGGTATCAAATTATACTTTCTTTTAGGTCACTTTATTTTGCTGGGCCTTATCTTTAAACTAGAATAGGAGGGGCAGGGGGCTCCTTAGGTAACCTCCAAGGGCCTCTCCGACCTTGATATCCCAAGATCTTCGGGGCCTGGGGTTCATTGCATGCTGCCTGGGACCGTGTCTCTCATAGCCTGGACTGCCTCCCCCTATGCTCTCTATTTCTCCCCCAATCCCCTCCAGCCCTCCCTGCTCAGCCCCACAAAGTTTGCCCTCTGGGCCAAGCTGGTCTTCTGTGCTCCTCTCAGAGAAGCGCCCCCTTTGCAGTGCACTTTGGGTTAATTGAAAACCCAGGAGATACAGCTTATAAAGGCAAATGTAGGTTTGGAGTAGCCTCATGTTTGTCCTGATATAATGAGTGGATCAGCCCAGCCTCCATAAAAGCCTGGAAGGTAGGGTGGAGGGTCAGAGACCAGGAGCAAAAACCCAAGAACAAACACCAAGGCAGGGTCTGCATGGGGGGAGAACATTGAAAGAGAAAGTTCTAGCAAAATAATGCTATCATGGACTCCTACAGCACCTGAGCCATCTTGTCCTGTCTCCCCATGTTATGGATGAGGAAATGAAAGCCCAAGGAAGGGGGAGGAGTCTATGATTGGGAGGGGGTGTGTGCATTTTTTCTCTGGCACTGCCTCGGCTGGGGGTAGGACCTGGAGATGGAGAGGAAGTGAGGGAGACTTGGAAACTGAGTCCAGGAGAGGCCGGAAGCACTAGGTTAGGGATGACCCGGGCTCCCATGAGCCCTTGTGTCCCTGCCCCCCCCCCCCCCCCCCCCCCCCGAGCCTGCCCTTTCTGCTCTGGCCCTCCAGCTCCCCTTTCCTTTGCCTGGCTCCCTCAGCTCAGCTCTCAGACATCACAGACAGCAGCCCCGACGGGCTTGGAGCAGGAGAGGGCTGGCAAGAGAGAGGGCTGGTTGGAGAGTGAGGAGGGCTGATGGGTGCCCTCCAGAGGGCCCGGAAACTCCACACGCCCCTTTGAGAAGCTCCAGGAAGAGGGGAGATGAAAGGGAGCTGGCATTCGCTTACGTTTCGAACAGACTCCTCTCCCCGACACACACGCACTTGTGTACCCCAAAAGGATCCAGGGACAGAGGAGGTGCCAGGCAGTTCTCCCGGATGCTATGAATCCCAAACACTGGGGAGAACAACAGAACAGGAATCCCTCCCCGAACCGCCTGTCGCATTCAACCCTGAGGTGAATAAGTGTGAGATAAAGGCCACATTGGAAGTCTCCGTGATACACGTCCTGCCCATATGTGCAGCACCTGCTGCTGTTGGTAGAGGGCCATTTTTAAAGTGGTGATGTCAGGGGCCAGAGAAGAACCAGCTCCAGAGTCCCTGAATCTACCTGGGAGACGCCACCAACTTTAGGAAGGCTTCCAGCAAGGAGACCTTGGCCAGGCCGGGTGACCTCCCAAGGCCCTCAGCTGTGCCTGTCCTTGAGCACACAGGCCATCTGCTGCCCAGGACGCTGGGAGCTGGGGCAGCTGGCCGGCCTGGGAATGGAGAGCCCGAGGAGCCCCAGGCCTGCTTGCTCCTCCTGCCCATCCTCTCCCCGAGAGCCAGAAGCAAGGCCAGGAGGCTCCAGGGAGCCTCCTGCCTAATTCCCAGGGCCCAGCAGCCAGCTCCGCAGCTGATGCAAGGCCAGAGTGGGTGAGCTCAGCCAGTCTCCGGTGCGGAGAGCTTCTTGTACCCCTCCGCACTCTAGAAAACATACCCATTCATTCCCCTCTGCCTTGGCCCTCCTAGGTCTCTAGCTCCATTCCTTCTGGAAGCAGAGCAGGGCCCCCTAAGGGAAGTCTCTGGGAGCTGGGGTAGGGCTGGGCGTTTCTGAGTCAACCCAGCTGCCCCACACCCGCAGCCTGTGAACAGAGCAGGGACCTGTTCAGGGAGGGCCTGGGCACCCAGTGGCTCTCAGGCTCTGTCCAGGCCGGCCCGATTCCTCTTCACTGGGAGGTCAGACCCTCTTATCCCGTTCGAGGGTGGACTTACCTCTACCTCCTCTCACTCTTATCTTTCAACGCCCAGGCCATAGGTAGGGATGCCAAGGCCCTACCACCCTCCTGAGGCACCGTCAGCTCAAGATGAGGATTCATTCACCATCCACTGACCAAGAGCTCCGTGATAATGACGGGAGGTGTAATAACATAACATGGATGATGTGTGCCACATCTGATGTCCTCCAAGGGACGATGCCACGATGTAAGGCAGCCCCAGGTGAAGCAGCAAAGGCCCGGAGAGGTGAAGTGGCAGAACCAGGAGTCAGGCCCATGGGGGTCTTCCCGCATCCTCGATCTGCCTTTGGCCCGTCCATCAGGCATGCGCCCAAGCAGGAAACAGCCCTCCGCAAACACACATGCTTGCCACCGGGACCCTGTTGACACAGAGGAACTTTTCTCAAGGGCACTGGGGGCCAGGTGGAGGAGGCTGGCAGAACCAGTTGTGGAGCTGGGGTAGAGCTACACTGGGAGCCAAGCCTGACTGGGAAGGCCTGGAGACATTCTGGGAGCACAGAGATGGGAGGAAGGGTACTCGGAGCCCAGAAGTGGCAGCCCCTGAGTGTCACTTGCTCCCTCAGACAAAGGGTCACAACAACCTCAGGCTGCCACCAGCGGGGTTGGGGTCGCTGCCCGGGGACGGAAGCAGGCTTCAGGACTGGGCCCTGCAGTTCTGGCTCAGGACCAGGGATCGTGGCCACGGCTGGCCTCCCTTTCTATGCCAGGGCCTGAAGGAGGGCTTCCTCGTTGACTGCCTCATTCCATTTGGGCTTGCCCTTTGCCCTCGGCTGTATCTGAGCCTCTCCGGGTGGCCACATGCACCTCTTCATGACCTTTGCCCACCCTCCCAGCGCTGCTTGTTGCTGATGCAACTTGTGGGCCTGGTGAGCTCAGGCCGGCCCGGTTCGCAGGTAGGTGAGCACACAGTGCCCTGCGCTGGAGGGTACAGCCTGTGCCAGCGACACCTGCCCTCCCTGACTCAGGCTCATGGGCCTGGGGCGGAAAGTGTTGTGCAGAGGAAGGCAGAAGAGGAAGGCAGGTGTGTCCTTCTCATTAGAGGGACTCCGAGACGACACCCCGGCTCCGGGGGCCACGCCAGGCCCAGCCAGCAGGGCACTGCTGAGCCCTGGTGCACCCTCCAGTTCCATCTTACATGTTAAGGCTCACTTCAGGAAAGCATGTCTCTCTGAAGGCTATAATGTGCCTAGAGTGATTTGGTCTACGCTCCTAGCCCTTCACCGACCCCACGTGGTCAGAGAAGGGGCATCTAAGGGAGAACACCCAGTGCAAAGCCAGCTCCCAGCTCTGTCCCGACCTCGAACCAATTCCTAGAACCACTCTTAAGTTGGAATTATACTTAATTTGTATTAGATATTCTAATCACATGGTATTAAATTAAAAAAGCGTAAAAGAGTCTAACACAGGGAAAGACTGTCCCTCCCATACCTTTCGCTCAGCTGCCCGTTTTTCACCCCCCGAGAAAAGCAGTGTTACCAGTTTCTTGTGTTATCTTTCCAGAGACAGGCTAGATTAGCCATGGGATTTTTGATTATTAGAGCTTGCACAACAAGGTCACATCTTGCTTCGATTTTCTGCTTGGGATGAGGAAGGGTAAACTCCCCTGCTTTGAACACTCCCTGAGAACGGACAGGAAGTGACCAGACATTAGCTTCCCACAGCAGGCCCACGTTCCGGTTCTCTCCCCTTCACTACCCTCCACCTGTTACTTTGCCAGATGCCCAAGGCAAGAGCGAAGGACAGATGGCATTGGCCTCATTCCTTAGACAGGGAAGCTGAGGAGCCAGGATGTTAAGGAGCCGCAAAGCCTCACACTTCAAGCTGAGGCACCCTGATTTCCCCATACCATCACTCTACTTCCCTGATATCTTCCCCTCGCCTTCTAAACGACCTTGAGTTCTTCATTCTGTTTGCCACAACTCGACTATGGACATTGCAAGGGCAGGGTCAAGGACTCTTCTGTCACCCCCTCCGAGCTAGACTCTGAGCTGGGCCCTGTGCAGCCCCCAGCAGTGGGAAACAACGTTGGCGAGGACCAGTGAGAGAAGCAGAGGGTGTACTGTTTCTTCCAGGGGCATCCCAAGGCCCTGAAGTTTGCTACCTGGACACATGAACATGGCTGACCACCAAGCTCACGGACCCACAGGCCTGTGCCTTATGAGTTCTTTTCTTGTGTAGTTGGCTCAGTTAGTGACCCTAGTCAGGAGGCCAAGGCCGTGGGTTGGATCCTCAGGGGTGGAATCATCCTGTGGTGAAACACTCTGTGCCTTGTCCATGAACTATATAGAGTGTTGCAAATTACAACTGGGTGACAAAAAGAGGTTTTTCCCCTCCGTGAAATGCAAAGCGCAGAGTCATCTAGCTGAAGGGGTTGACCTCCTTTGTGATCCCCACCTCCTCCCAATTCCTGCCCACTCCCACCTCTGTGATCCTTGGGGTTTCTCTGGGGTGAGCCCTGATGCACCCTCCAGTTCCATCTTACACGTTAAGGCTCACTTCAGGAAAGCATGTCTCTCGGGCGCCTGGGTGGCTCAGTTGGTTAAGCGACTGCCTTCGGCTCAGGTCATGATCCTGGAGTCCCGGGATCGAGTCCCGCATCGGGCTCCCTGT